AGCCGCAGAGCACGGGGGCAGCGGGACAGCCCAGACGCGCCGTGGCTGTCCTGCTGCCCTCGGGCTCCATGGCTTTGCTCTGCTTTGCTCCCCATCCCACTGGTCTGCAGACCAGGGGGACGGGGGGACGGGGGCAAAGCAGAGCCAAGCCTCGGAGCGTGTGGGCAGCGGACAGCCCTGTCCGCTGCCCACGTGTTCCGCCGCTTTGCTTCCTTTTCCTGGTCTGCTGGAGACCAGGGAGAGGAACGGCCCCGTTCGTAACTGCGGATCCGCGTAACTCGGGGACTGCCTGTAGTGAAATATCTATAAACGAGATGAAGACCATCTGAAGGGGTTCTATATAGTTGTTGCTAGTAGCAGATAGTGCTTAGATGTCTGAGTAAACCACAACAATAAAAAAAAAGAATTAAGGCTTATTTTATATAAACTCTTTTAGGAAAAGATTATTTTTTTCCTGTTCAACAACAGAATGGGTAGCAGCTTTTCACTGTAATTCCCTATTGCGTGGCTCTCTCAAAGAGTTCAAAGTTACATTCTGGAATACTGCTGAAAATACATTTGTTTTTAACAAAACCCACAGCAAAACATTTATGGATTTCTAAAACCACAATAGCCTTTTGTTATCCCAAAGGAACAGCTGGAACATCGCTTTGTAAGATAACAAAAGGTCAAAGATGATCTCACGCAAAAGCTCCCGTTCTCCTTTAACAACAAGAAACCAGGAAGCTACAGTTGTTCAGGAACTCATCACACTGAACTATCTACTACACAACAAAAATAGTACAAAAAACAGGAAGCTATTCACGAGATAGTGGCATGCAGACAAGACAAGGGGGAGGACTCGAGCATGTGTTAGTTGATCAAATCGGATGTTACGGTCACAGAAATGACTCTAAGAAAAGGATTCATGATTGGTACAATTGAGAATGACAGCGGAAGACTGGTTGGCAGTCCTGCCTTCCACACTTATAATTAAGAGGATGAATCTATAAGGAGTATCATTTTACTCATTCGTACTTTCCTAGGATGCTCCTCCACCGGTTTCTCTTCTTTCTGAAATAATGTTGAAACCAAAAGATCAACAAAACGCCTGATGTTTACCAATTGGTTGGCTATGAATTGCTGTGTCTCTATTCTGAGGTCCTCCCCTCCCTACATATTGTAGGCAAAGACACCCCCTCCTCCCCCTGGCTTCACAGCACGGGTACATATTATAAGGAAAATTCATTACAAGGTTTTTCTAAAAAATATTCTCAGTTTCCAAGTCTGTTCCCCATGCTGCCCTTTATAAACGGATATAATGCTCTGCCTTTCAACAGAACTTCCCACTAGCTCCAATTCTTCCAGTCTGCTGAGTGTTGGCAAAGGGGATTAATCTTCCAAATGATGGGATAGTAACAATGCTTGAGGTTTGCCTACAATAGAGATCCCACTTTTCCTATCATTGGTGGAGAATTACAGCCAGGATATTTGTGGGCACACACTAGGCCTGGATGCAGAGTTCAAGTGGTAAATGCAAAATAGGCCTCCACTTACTTTACTCCTAGAATCTACATTCAAGAGGCACACCCCACAGGCGAGATCTTGGGCGTTTTTAATCCCAGGACGCAGCATACAAGAAGAGAAATCCAACGAATTTTCATCTGGCTACAGAAAAAACAAGACATTTGGATTTAGTCAATTTGAGTGACCTCCTCCCCCTACCTCTCAAAAAAATGACATGCATTATGACAAATGATGGGAGTGGCTGCTGGGGAGGGGCAGGAAGCTGAACAAAGTCACAAAGGTAACATACTGCACACGCCCATACACTGATGCACGCTTTAATCAAAGCCATTAGCATAGTTTCAAACATACTATGTAATCTCCATTGACATTAATTTACCACATTCAAGCCCTTGAAACAGGATCAGATAACAGAGGAGAGAATATTTGAGTTCTATGTTTCACTTCAAAGAGAACCACGCTTCTGAAACCAGAGCACAAGTGGCCGCTGCTACATAATGCCTACATATCAAAGAGAGGGCTGAGACAGACACAGGCAGGCAACAAATTATTTGCAGTTATAAAGATACCATGGGATAAATTAACAGCTTCCAGACTGGCAGCTAGGCTTAACCAGATCAATGTTCATTCCTCAGAATTTGGCACTAATGCCCAACTATCAGTACACAACTGAATATTAATGGCTGGCCAAACCAGGCAACAATTGAGAGAGCTAATTGTTTTATTTTGTACATTAGTTTATGTTATGAAATGGAATAGGAAGACAATTGTGTGCAGGATGTTTGAGTGTAAATGACTAACAGTTTACTGATAAGCGGATGCTTAATTGGTTAACGGTGTTGGTTACACTCAGAGGCTACATCTACACTGCGGGTTTTTTGTGGAAGAGAAAATGCAAATGGGTCCCATATGAGGAAAGGCTAAAGAGACTGGGACTTTTCAGTTTAGAAAAAAGGAGACTGAGGGGGGGGAATATGATAGAGGTCTATAAAATCATGAGTGGTGTGTAGACGGTGAATAAAGAGCAGTTACTTACTTGTTCCCATAATATAAGAACTAGAGGATACCAAAAGAAATTAATGGGTAAAAGGTTTAAAACTAATAAAAGGAAGTTCTTCTTCACACAGCGTGTAGTCAACCTGTGGAACTCCTTGCCAGAGGAGGCTGTGAAGGCTAGGACAACAACACAGTTTAAAAAAGAGCTAGATAAATTCATGGATAAATAGGGCTAGATAAATTAGGTCCATAAAAGGCTATTAGCCAGGGGGTAGGAATGGTGTCCCAGGCCTCTGTTTGTCAAAGGCTGGAGAAGGATGGCAGGAGACAAATCTATTGATCATTGTCTTCGGTACATCCCTCTGGGGCACCTGGCACTGGCCACTATCGGCAGACAGGATACTGGGCTAGATGGAACTTTGGTCTGACCCAGTATGGTCGTTCTTATGTTCTTATATCTCAGGCTCTCATTTGCATATCTTCATCAGATCCTTTTTGCAGAAAAGATTTTTGCATTAAAAAGCCCTGTGTAGATGGGGCCATTTGCCGGAAAAGGCCTCTTTTGCGCAAGATCCCTTATTCCTCAAAAAAATAAGGTTTACAGGCTCTTGCGCAAAAGGTTTTTTTCCCCACAAATGGCCCCATCTACACAGGACTTTAGTGCAAAAACCTCTTCTGCAAAAGGGATCAGAAGAAGATATGCAAATGAGAGCATGCGATATGCAAATGAGTGCGCCATTTGCATTTCCTCTTTTGCAAAAAAGCCACAATAGCCACCACCCCGGGAGCAGGGCAGGTAAAGGCTGGCAGACCCACTCCCAGGAGGATTTTGCGGTGAGCTCTGTGGAATAAAGTCAAGCTTTATACTGCAGAGTCCACAGTGCAGGTAACCTCATAACCGCTAAGATTTTCAGTGGTTACACAATTATCCTATTACATGATTTTTAACATCCCTAATTGTGTTTTTAAGCAGAAAAAATATTTTGGTATGTATTGCAGCTTTCCTGATATACAGTTTTACATGTAGGCTACAAGAGAAATGGTCAACGTAATTTTGCATTTGGGTGGTGTATAAACATTCAAGCATTGTTTGAAGAATCGCTGTACCATGTAACGTTTAAACAATCAAAAGCAATGCACAGAAATACAAATGCAGGATTTAAAAAAAAAATTTGGTATGATCATAAAACAGATGGATTCTTGTAATCCATACTTTAGATATTCCGATCACAATCCCATAGCTGAACAATTTAAGAAATAATTGGAATCCTGAAAAAACCTTTAATCTTTTAGTTGATCAATCAGATTAATAAAGGCACTCTAATATTTGTTTATCAAATGCATGAATGAAGCAAATGAGAAGGTCATACAAGAATCTGCAATGAAAAACCATAAGGCTATGCATAAAATTACCTTGTAACAAAATTAATCCTTTAAATGATAAAATTAACCTTTTCAAGCACACGCCTGTGAGCCAAAGGACTCATACATACTTAATTGGCACTTCTGCTCCATTTGGAATCCATTATTGCAATTTTACAGGCAGGTATATGCTATACATTAGGCACCGAGCAATATCTACTTTTCAAAGCAAAACCAAAGCCAGTCATTTGGTATTGGTTTAAATAAATATGAGTGGAAGTATGCTGCACTTAGAAGCATGCAAGACTTGGATAGTCTCAAGTCAAAAACCCTAATAGTATGTTTGAAACTAGTCCTCATCAAAGAGCAAGAAACCTGTGTTTCTGAGAATTAACTGTATCTGGTTATGCTTTAGCAATACTAAATTACTGATTAAGGACCAATATGTGCGCTGGAAATTGTGTACTGGAATCAAATATTTAAAACAAACAAAAAAAACCCCAAACTCTTTGATTGTAGCTCAGGATGAAATTTCACAACTGTCACTAGGGAGTAAGGTTGGGGAGGGACGGATGGAAGAAAGAAAAGACAAAGAATATGAACAATTTATTCTAGCCTTCCTCAACCCCAACAGGAAAACCTCACAATTGCCTAAGCCTCGGACCAGATTTCCTTCAGGTCCTAGCTTCAATAATAATGTGCCTTTCTTTGTAATAAGATGCACCCTGAGTGAAACATGCCATTTCACAAACCTACTAAGCATCTTTTTCCTGGCCCATCAGGGGCTAGAATTTTTCCCTACGGGCACTCTGTGTACCAGTGCTCGCATTTTGCCATGAAGGTAAAGTTGTGGCAAAACTGAATACAGAAACATGAAAGCTGCTGACAGGATCACGTGCGCCACCGCAGCCAAAGATTCTCTACAGTTTAGGAATGATGGTTTCTTTCGAGAGCATGATCAGGTAGCAAGGCAGCGATGTTGTTCTATGCATCTTTGTTACCTTTAACTGGAGAAAAAGATTTACCTACAAACAATTGTTGGTTGAATACTGGACATCCTAGCTTAAGGCCAGACTGTGACACTCACTCACACTGAAGAGTATCTTAATACATGAGTAGTCCAATTGACATCAATAAAACTACAAGTGGTGTAAGATTCTACAGTGTGAATGAAAGGGTATCAAAATCTGGCCATTAGTTATGAAAATACTCTGAAGTTCATAGTTATACATCAATACTTAATACACCAACTTCAGTATGAAAGAATCCTGTACTAATATTCAAATCTTTTACATTTGAAACAGCACTCTGAGCAACAACTATCTACCCTGAGAGCAGAATACTCCTCACAATAGTACCTAAATGTTGACTAACCGTAGGCCACTGGTACCTTAACCTGTCCTAAAACTCAGCAACAAAATGTTGATGTTATCAAGTGCTGTGTTCGGTGAAGCCTGTCAGAATCTGACATGGTTTTTTGTTTTTTTTTTAAGATCTGGTTTGCCACTAATATGTGGTACTGATGAGTTGGGAGAAAGGAGATGTCCATCTTTTTCTGGGAGTTAAGAGCTGAATGTAAAGTTTATTTCAAATAGCAAGCCAGAACACCAGATCTCTTCTCTGCAGGTTGAACCTCTCTAGTGCAATACTCTCTGGCAACATCCGTTGTCTGGTATAATTTTAATTAGCTGGATGTCCACTTACTAGTTTCCTGTGGTCCCATAAAGTTTGTTTACAGCCACCAGTCCTGGCTGTCAGTGTTCTGTGCTGTTATTTAGTTCTAATTTACCCCTAAAGAGCCCAGTAAGCAATGGAAGTGTTGGTAATGCTGCTAAACAATATTGATTTGGTCGCGCAAATTTTCTGGTACGGCATCCATCAGGTCCCCAGGGTGCCGGACTAGAGAGGATCAACCTGTACTTCTCGATAAAAGCAACATTAGAATTTTTAATACACGTGATTGCTCTGGATGAAGGGATCTATGAATTCAGTATCCAGTGATAGGAGAGAGCACTGTGGTAATGATGCATTTATTAATGCTGGACATGATGCATTGGTCTTAATCTAAAGAGTAAAGGCTCCTTAGCTATGCACTGTGTTCAAAACAACCATTATAGCGGATCATGTCAATGGACTCCCCCAAATTAATGATTTCCCAAAAGTGTGCTGAGCTATTACTGTGAAGTGTCTGCTCAGGAAATCCATTGTATACTCATACTTATCCCTCTTTTCTGCACCTACATTATTTAACTGCAACCAAAGATGATGAGTAAAAATGGAAAAAGTTTGTTAGAATTTTCTTGCCTTCTTTTTTTAACTGTTCATAGTTTCTCCCCTCCCATCACCAAAGGATTTTCCTTGACCCTGAGTCCCAACTTGGTAGCTCTTTCTTCACCCCCCCTGTTACCTCTAAATTCCTTGCAACCACAGATGCCCTTCTTCTCAGTCACCAGCCATCTAAAACTACACACAACCATTCTTCATATGCCATCAACAGCGCTCTCCCAGCTGGCTATACAGGCAGCAGAGAGAGAAGTGAAGTACTCCCTCTTCCATCCCAGAGCTAGCCAGCTGCATTTGGCTATGGCAGTTCCAGGCTGAGGAGGGAAAAAGCTCAAAACAAGCATTATTATTTAGTCTGCAGCAGTGTCCAAAGTGGGCTAGGCGCTTTCCAAAAACAGAGCATGACACACAGTCCTTTTTAGTCAATCTTCTGCATAGCAGAGCACTAGACCTAGGGAAAGCTCACTGCTGGAGTGCCGCGAAGGCTACTTATTTTTCCTATCTAGGTTCATGTTTGTCTAACTAAAAGCCAATTATGTCTAATTGAAAGCCCATTGAGCGGTGTCCAAGGACAAATAAAGCAACACCACCACCTGAAGAGTTCAAACCGATTCCCAAGGTTGCCTAGTAACCTCATACAAATGGAGAAAATAAGGAACAGGGAGTTTAAGTGACTCCGCAAGGTCATAATGCATCACCATACGTCACACTCCAGCCATGCATATAAACATAAGGGTTCCTGTAGTGTACAGGCAGCTTAATTATGACCTTACTGTTAAAGCAGCAAGTGACATGAAGCTTATCAAGTTGTTCCACACTTTATCGATGTCCTTTAGCAGCTGCTGGAGTTTCTCACTACACACCGCGGTGGCCTTGATACCCAGCTCAACTCGTTTTGTTACTCTGTAGACCTCAACGACCCCTGTCAAAATTAGAGCGGTGAATTAGAGGCAAGTTGTTGACTCCCAAGCAAAGCACAGTAGAGATTTGAGCCGCTGAGAGAGCATCTAACAGACATTACACACATTTTGAGAAACATCTGTGACCTCCATAATCTGTTTCAAAATTATTGTCCTATAATCATTTGGCTAAAGAGTCACTCATCATTCCAGTCTGGGAATTCACTAAGCTAAAGACACAATTTGGAAACAATTAATAACATCCTCTTATTTTAAAGGGGGTCCATTTAAGGTAAGTGGCAGGAAAATGAAACATACCTAATAAATATTCCATGCCTTGTGCTGACTGGATTACTTCAGTGCAAACAGATGAACTACTGATTCCATTTAGGGTACCATTTGCCTTCTTAATGACCTAGCAGAAAAGATGCTGGTAACATCACCTGGATATTTACCTTGAAGTAACTTTTACAAATAAAATTGCAAAAAAGTTATAAATTGCAGTACAAGAGAGATTCATGCAATTAGCAGGAGAGTTGGTATTGTTCATCACACGCGTTTAATTTGTTCTTGCTTATAACTATATGCAGGCCAGGGTAGGAGAATTCAACTCATTCTCATTAAGCTGTCCTTTTTGCTGATGGAAACGTAAGCACGCTGTGAAGAATTTTGTTTAAAAATGATACTTGGATTAATGGGTAGTAAATGTTGCCAACAAAACAATACTTCAAGGAGGAAAACTATTGCAGCTGCAAACATAAGGACCAAAATTACCAAAAGCGTCTGGTGATCTTGGGTGTCCAACTTGAGACATTTTAAAGGGGGCTTGCTTTTCCAAAAGGGTTGAGCCTCCACCTTCTGAAAATCAGGTCCCTATAACATATCAAGTTGGAAAGCCAAAAACTGAAGCAATCAAATTAACTAGTCACTTGAAAATGTAGACAATGGCTAAATTAACCATAAGTGACAAAGAGCATGATGCAAGCTTGACTGGATAAGGTGACGCATCTCGTTAGGTTAACTTACATATACACATACTTTGTTGTTTTCTGCTGACAGCATTAAATTTTAAAGCATAATTCAGACAGGCCCATGTTCATCCCCTCCAGATGCTCAAAGTCTGAAACAGTAGATCAGGTAATATGTATGGAAAGAAGGAGGTTATTTTGGTAGAGGTTACACACTTACTTGTAGGGCACTTTCCAAACATCTCTGCCACTCATAAGCATACCTCTCGCTTTCCTATTTGAAAAGAAGAGAATAGTTTGAATGCTGTACCTAACTTCTTTCAAGTTTATCATCAGCTGAGTGGACCTAGAAAAAGACCCTCACCTCTTGTATGTGCAGATGAAACATACATGTGTTTTTCCTGTAATAATTTCTAATTTTGGTCCCTTCATACAAAAAAGCAAACAGTCAAATAAGGTTATGGAACGATGGATTTGGGAAACGACATTTTGCATTTTTCCGCACAACCAAGAGAAAGTTAATATTCTCTTTGTATCTCAACTGCAATATTTGACCCCTAGGAGCTATAAGATCAACTGAAAACAATGAATGAAGAAAAAGGAACAGCTGAACACTCCAGTTGCATGTGTTTAGCACAGCCACATAGGTCACATGGCTGCATATGTGTTAGAGATGTGGAAGAATGGAATCTAGCTTTTATGCTGCCCTTTAAAATGGCTACAATTCTCTACACAGGCAAGTGCAGTAAGTAAATACAATATGGACAAACACTAAGGGTATGTCTACATTGCATTCCTCCTTCGAGAGAGGAATGCAAATATAGACAAACTAAATTGCAAATGAAATGCAGATTTGAATTTCCCGTGCTTCATTTGCATAATTGCAGCCAGCCACTTTTCCGAATAGCCACTTTTACTCCTTTAAAAAAAATGAGGATTAAGGGTTCTTTCAAAGGAAGGCTTCTTTCCGAAATAACCCCGTGTGGACCGTGTTTTTTTCCTCTAACTACACTTCCCGAAAAACGGCCAGCCACAATTATGCAAATGAAGCACGGGGAATTCAAATCCGTGCTTCATTTGCAATTTCGTTATGTCTAATTTACATCCCTCTTTCAAAAGAGAGATGTAGTAGTCTAGACACAGCCTAAGTGATTTCCCAAAGTCAGTGGACCCAGGGCCAACACTGGGATTACATTACTGCAGGGGTCAGCAACCTTTCCAAAGCGGTATGTACCAAGATTTAACCCTCCTGCCCAAGACTGTGCCGCTATCCCGGTGGGCGGGGGAGGGGACATGTCTTTCCACTGTGCACCTCGTGGACCATCTGGCTCAATGCAAGCCTTTCTGCGGACTACCAGTGGCTAATGGAAACTCACCGTTAATTAAACCAACGCCATTTTGCTAGTGCTGTAGCTAGGGAGAACGGTTTAATTTAAATGATTAAACACCTTAAGTGTTTTAACTCTCTCATGTTAGTTTATCAAATTTCATTTTAAATAAAGTAAAATAATAATCTATGTCCAACACAAAAGATTTCAATGTTTTCTTTATTTATGGCTGAGGTGGGGGACCCTTTTTTAGGTGGAGGGTCACTGACCCACAGAAAAATCAGTTGGGGACCACAAAGTGAGAAGCAAAAACATTCCTCCCCAAACCCCCAAGTCCCAACTGAGACACTGCACTCCTCTGGCATTCCAGCCCCACAGGGCGAAGGGAAGGGACAGGGAGGACTGAGGTTCAGGGTTTCCCATGGGCCAGATTTACTTTTCTGGGGTTCCCGAGTCAGTGGATTTTGTGGACCCCCTCAGGCTCTGGGATGGGAACAAAAATGAGGGGTTCAATGCACGGGACAGGGCTGCCAGCGAGTGGGGTAGGGATGCAGGATCTGGGTGGGAGGTAGAGTGCAGCACGGGGTGAGGAGGACAGAGTCTGGAAGGGAGTTTGGCAACAGGAGAGGGGGTGGGGTGGGGGGATGAGAGAGCTGGGGGAGTAACACTGAAAAGGTGAGGGGGTGAGAATGCAGACAAATAGCTAGTTGGGGAGGGAGGCAATGAAGTGGGGAGTAAAGGAAAGTGCAGCTTCTGCAAAGTAAAATTGTATCCCACCCCCTCAGATCTTCCCTCTGCTCCAGCCTCGCTCCCCTCAGCTCCATGCCCCGCAGTGAAACTCCCGCCACCCCATCCTGTCCCCACATCTGTACCCCCAGCGCACTCACTGGCAGGCCAGCAGCACTGGGACTGTCAGCTCCCAGGAGCAGCGCTGGGGCAGGAAAGCTGAGTCTTTTCCCTGCCCAGACTAGCCATTTGCCTGCAGGCTGTGACTCCGGGGCTGGGGCAGGCTCCAGCCTGGATGGGCAGAGTGGGGCACTCCCACACAGAGCCTGCGGGGAGCTGCGCGGCCAGCCCAGTGCCACCCCCTCCCAAAGCAGGAAGCAGAGCCTGTACCCCAGGAGAGGGGGGGTTAACCCCTTGGTTCTCGGGAGCTGCACGCTCAGGCCCCGGAGCAGCCCCCAGGATGCACATTCCTCTCCTGCCCCAGCAGGAAGCCAGAGCCGTTGCTCCAGTCTGCAGCTGTGTGGCTGAGGCTGGAGCCACAGCACGGGGGAGAGGGGCTGGGCTGAGCTCCTGCCACGGGTGTTAGTGAAAACCGGCTCATGTGCCGCCCACGGGCCGGAGATTGCTGACCCCTGCATTAGTGGTTTCTAGACAGAGACTTAGGCCACTTAACCACAGAGACACGTCCAAAACCCAACAGGATGTTTCTACCTAAAAATAAGGAAGGTGGACAATGTATGGTTGTGTTAAAGATATTATGAATTTAAATCCTAAATAGCAATGCTGTATCAGAAATTACATAAACTGATTTTTCCCCAACTCAATCTAATGAAACTTAATGTGTCTCAGAGGTGATGTGGCAAGGAGTCCCGTGGCACCTTATAGACTAACTGAAGTGTTGGAGCCTAAGCTTTCGTGGGCAAAGACCCACTTCGTCAGATGCAAGAGGTGATATGAGACACCAAAAAAGTGGACCAATTGTGGTGCTTTAAGATCCATTCACTGACAGACCACGTGACTCAATTTTTTGGGGGAGAAAAAAGGAGTAAGAGCCCCTTTCCAGGCTTGTATTTAAAAGCTTCTTACCAGTTCCTCGGAGTTTAGAACAGCTTTGTTTGTAATACATGTGCATCTATTCATGTACAGGGATGTGCCACAGAAGTATAATTAATATACCACATCAATTAGACCTAGTGCAGAGTTTGGGCAACTGGCATGAATGTTTTAAACAATCATGTATTATTTATTATTCCTAAAGCACCAGACACCTGGAATGGAGCTTTACAGACAGCTAACAAGAGAGCTCCTTTTCAAGCAGCTTACAGTCAAAGGACCCAAACCTGCAAGGTACTGAGCACTAGGGATGTTAAATATCGGTTAACCGAATAGACGATTAACCTCATGAATCCTTAATAGTTACTCGACTATTCTATAGTCCCCAGGGGTGGGGCTCCACTCCCGAGGAGCCCCCTGCCACTCTGTGCTGCTGCCTCTGGGGTGCCAGGCGAGAGCTGGTTTGCAAGGGGAGCCAGTTTAAGCTGCCTGGCAATTCTGTCTCTTTTCTGTATGGTTTTATGAGAAGCAATTCCATTCCAGGCACATCCCATTTTCCTGGCACAACCAAACCCTTACGATGCTTTACGCTATGGTAACAGGAAGCTGAATATTGAATGTGGTGGTCCTAGCTCTTACAGTTTAGGAGGAGTTCTTGAATAAACACAGACAGACAAACTCTTCAATATATAGCAGATTAGTAATGTGCTTTGATCTGTTTTCACTTGTAATCACTTAAATCCTACTTTTTATATTTAATAAAAATAGTTTTATCATCAAATCTAGTGTAAATAATGGTTACCAAGGGTGGGTTGGGAGTGCCACAGCTGTGCATCTCTCTCTTTCATTGACAAAGAGAAAGAACACTATAAGCTTCCTGTGGGTAAAACTTTTACAGCCACTCCCCGACTTACGAACACACTGACTTACGACCAACTTCCCGTTAACCCCATTATATTTTCGAGTTGAGAACCATATACGTCAAGTTTTTTGAAGAGTGCAGGCAGCGCGTTTAAGGGTATTTCCGACTTATGACCAAACTGAGTTACGACCAGGTGTTCGGAATGTAACGCATTTGTAAGTCGGGGACTGCCTGTATAACAGAGTACGACAGATTTATTTGGGGTTTTGGTCCCTTTGGAGGGCTGCGTTCCTGGGTACTATCAAGTATGTATAACTAAGCCTGCCCAGATCTGAGCTGTTTCAGCATCTGTGTTACTCGGCTGGAGGGCTGTTACCTGAACACTGTGCTTTTGCTGGGGGAGACCAGATCTTCTAGCCCAGCAGAACAGGGTGGCGGGGCATTCCAGAGGGCAGGTAGGTGGACTCAATCGTACGATCAGCTTCCATGATCCAACCCATCTCACTAACTTTAATCTCACGCAGCTGGAATTTGGGGTATTTTTAATGTCACATTGGTCCAAGCCTTATTTTCTTTCCAGGCCATTCCTTACCTCTACCTCCCCAGTTAGATCTTTATATTTGTCTCTGATGACAGGTAAAGCAGGCTTCTCACTCAAAGTATTTGAGCGATCTCTAAAGGGTTGCTCCAAAGCTGGTGAAGGAGACGAACGGCTAATTTCTCTGTCACCCAGACTCAAGCTCCTTTTGTGAGACCCTATAAGAAATTAAGAGTACAAGCTAACTATTTATAGCATATGACGATAGAAAAGCACTTAAAATTAACGGAGTGCTGTACTGACAGCTTTGGAGAACGAAGTTCTCTGTTCATTTAGCATATAAAACAGCAATGTAAGATTCCCCATGCAAACTGATGAGATTATAGTTCAACTGTTAAGCCCATTCAGTGCTTACAATATTTGCAGTGTATAAAACAAAAGGAAAAAAAACCAGTTAACTGTAAAAGGGCCTGATCCAAATCCCTCAAGTCAAGACTCACGTTGATTTCAACGGGCTTTGAGATTTGGCTCCATAGAGAAATTTCTCACATGACCATTGATGGAAGTAGCACACGGTACAGATGGGTACATATATACTATGTTCTACCCTAGACGTGCTCACCTTGAACAGAGAGGTCAAAGGTAGCAAGCTCACTCTTGATCATTTCTTCACTAGATTTCATCTTGCCTTGAGAAGTTGCCATCAAGAAATCAAATTTGCTGATTTTAGGCTTTTCGCTTTGGAATTCTCCAAAGTCATCCACGCATTCTTTTGGTGTTTCCGATGAGATACCGTTGGTAGCTAGGTCAACATCTGGGCTAGTGTCAACTGTCACTGAGTCCTGCACTTCCGACAAAGGTCTTGAGAACTCTCCAAAGTCTTCAATCTCATCATCACTTTGACAGCCGGACCTGGAACCAGGATCTTTGAAGTTTGCGAAGGCTGCAAATTTAGCATCCTGTAGAACCTCCTCAGTGGAAAAGGTTGTCACTTTGGAAACTGTTGTCATGGTAATGTTTTCTGAACTGCCAAACAAAGTCTCCTTCTTCTGAAGGACTGAAGTAGCTGAAGAGGTGCCACTTCCTGAAGAAAGGGCAAAGGAAGAGAGCTTCCTGCTCTGATGAATGTCTTCTGTGTCAGACCAGTCATAGCTTGCAAGGCTACTTACTGCAGAACCACTGTTATAGTTTCCAAAGGGAGCACATTTTAAGTCATCTATATCTGAGAGAGAAACAAAAATACAGTTATAGACTCTCCCAAGATCAAGCAGAACGCCATACATTGTACATAGCCACAAGCTGAAAATCTCCAAGATCTATAGGAACAGGTGTATTGGATAGGCACTGGTGTAACAACTAAATATGAGGTTTGATCTGTATCTTGCACAAGAAATACCCTTAGAAATTGCTAGGTACAGTATTATAAATTATGTCTGCTTACAGTAAGTGTAAAACCTTGACTTCTTGAACATTATAGTTTATATTAAACTGTAGATCACCATCTTCGCGGTACATACCACTAACTAAGAAACATTATACTCAGTAAAACTAACATGTCCAGAGAGTACATACTGTACAAATTGACAGTTCACATTCCTGGTACACTCAGAGAAACAGCAGGCAAAATCTACATGTTTAGCATCCCAAACATCTTATCCAATTAGCAAAATTGACTACAGTATTAGGCTAACTTGCTCCCTCCCACTTCATTGCTCAGAATGTGCCCCAAAGAATAAATACAAATATTATTGTAGGTTATGAAAATGTTGTAGCCTTTAAAAAACCCCACTAGTTCTGTTCTTTTGAAGTATAAAGTACTGAAGTGCTGCATGGCTCAAGATTATTGTTCAAGCATACAAGTTTCAGGAAAAATGTGAATGCTGCAAAGATTTTAATTTTGCTACATGTGTTACTGATTTAGACCACCAGATAAAAAACCAACTGCATAAAACAAATCTTCAATCAAGCATTTATACTCACCCAGGAGTTATATGGGCCAATATGTCCTGTTGCTGCCATAAATGTGTGTCAGAGAGGCAAGAGACTCCATTTGCTTCACTAAGCCCACCAAAGGAAGCTATGCAGTGATTTGTTTCTGCCAGGCTCTGTCTGTTACTCGCCTCAACTTTTTTTCCCCCCCAATTTAGATTGAGATTGTTCCATATGGGGAGGCATAAAAAGCCAGGGGCCATATAGTTGTTGTGAAAGCATTTTTTTTAAAGAGCTATGGCTGATGTTTGTTTTCAGACATTAACAATTGTCACTTTGGATTAGACATTCAGCAGCTGCACAGTGCCTATGGTAAAATGGTCTCAAGGTACAGCGAACACAAATACACATTCTCTTAGCATCATTTTAGCAGAGGCTGTTCTGATAAACATTTTAGTCCTGACTGGCTTGCGTGCAGTAACAGCAGCTCAGGTTTAATAAAAAGATAGTGTGGAAACAAGTTGACATTTCAGCTGCCCTTTTTATTCAATCTGACTGTGTTAGCTTGAGGATTAAGCCCACTTTCACAAAACATTTCTGCCTTCATTTATTTATTTTACTGGAAGGGGAGAATACACAGAGCTTGAGGCTGCTTTCCTGATCTGACCCAAATACATGATTAATCAAGAAGTTCACGATTATATGGAAGAATTGCAGGCCAGTTTTAATGGCTGCCAAAACAAAGTCAAGACTCCCTTTGCATTGTATCTGTGTGGCAGATTAGATTTTTCCTAAGAAATGTCACTGGGGCTGCGGCAGCATTTGAGTGACTGATGGCATTGCCATGATAATAAGCAGAATACATGATGATCATATTATGAAGATCTGTACAGTCTATCTACTGAAAGTGACTTCCCATTTTGGCTAAGAAGGAACAGCATGTCTTGTGGACAGATTCTTAAAGCCCACATAATTGTATTCTTTCCCCTCAATCTGATTCCTGGCTCAAGTTCACACTGAATTATCGGAAGGGCTTGGATTAGAAACCAGAATTTCCAATCTATTGCTCTACCCAGTAGACCAAGCTTCCATTATCTCCTCCCTGGAAAAGGCAGCAAAAAGACATATTAATTCTTTAAAAATTAAAGGCTTAGATCCCGCAATTGGACCTACTAGCACAAGGATCTGGTCTGCATAGATTCAGAAGTAGGGTAAGAATTTAACAGCTCAGTTCTACAAATGCTTCCTCGTTTGATTTCAATGGGATCATCTCATTTCAGCAAATTTGTAGGAAAGGATACTTAGAAAATATAACAGGGCCCTAGGTAAAATTATTTTATACCTAATACAGAGTCAGAGCAATTTATTAAAAAGCCAAGAATTAAAAATATGGATGCAGTTCCAAATGCCATATGGTAAACTAGGAGTTATCATAAACACTGTTTTAATCTCAGTGTAAAATCCAAATTATTTGGGTAGTACATGTATTACATTGTCCCCCCCCCACTGTGGGAAACAGTCTCACAACCCTTGTGATGGATGTAACAGGCACACTTCTAAAGCCTAGGCCAAGTTTTTGTTTAATTCATCTACAGTGTAAAGTTAAAAAAACAGTTTCATTTCTTTTTTCCTGAAAGGCAGTGTAGCTGCCTTCCACATGAATATACAGAGCAGCAGCTGAGATGTGAAAAACATTCCATGTTGGACTCAAGGGGGCTCTTCATGATGTGGGTATTTTTATTACTGGCACAATGTTTTATTAGACAATGTTAAAAACTGTTCTGGCAGTAGCGTATTCCCTAGAGACCAGAGATAAATTTAATGAAAAAATTAGCTTAGGTAAAAACACTTCAGCTAGTGGTTAAAAAAAAAAAAAAAAAAAAAAAAAAAATTCATTTCACTGTAGTGTCAAGTCAATTTTTTTTTGAATGATTGTGCATCAGAGGCAGTATTCTGTCAGATCAAGAGAGTATTAATTGAATGTAAATCTTAGCTAATTCTAAGAACTAAGTACCGTCTTCAGCAAATACAGCTTCTATTCCAAAATATCTGTAGCAGTCTCCGCATTCACGAAATTCATGCAAATGGCAGAATTTGAGTGAAGCATCTTAAAAAAGTATTACAGAATGAGCACAGATTGAATCCATTAAAAAAAATCTTCCATGTGCTTTGCTTTTAAGATACTGTAATCTTTCTGCATAAGCAGGATCACAGTGTCTCGCAATTTCTACAACAGCAAATACTTAATAGAAATAAGAGGAATAGCAAATCACGATTTATTTCAATTCTGATTAGCTTGTCTGGCAACCTGAATGGCATTTCAGCCTTTACTGAGCTTAATTTCATTAGCACTTTTGAGAACCTTATTGCAAAAAACTCCATCAAAGTCAAGCCATGAATAGCTCATGCTAGACAATCTTGAATTATTCTTCTCATAATTCTACCCACCAAAAGTATTTTCAATATATTACAGAGTGATAAGGAGGCATTTCCTGAACAGCAATGCTACTAATTTCTTGGCTTTTCTGAAAGGCTGAAAATATATATTTTGTTATTTACATTTATGACAATATAAAAATCTGAGTGATAATTATTCCCATATAGTTATCACTGTCAGCCTTCCAACATTAGACATGGGTCTATGCAGTCAGACTAAAAATCAAGTACAGAAAAGTATGTCTGGATTTCCAAATAACTTAAAGAAAGAACTGTGGAAAGGAAATAAAGGAGAAAGTTTGTAAGATGAAAAATAAAGCAGGAACTTATTATGGCTTCTGTTTAGGATACAGTAGCTATGATCAGACTTGAGTATAGTAATTCCTCATTTAATACCAGAGATGCGTTTCTGAAAATGTTCGTGCTAAGTGAAAACATGCTATGCGGGGTCAATTTTCCCATTAAAAATAATGGAAAAGGTGGGGGTTGCATTTCAGGTGGTGCTGGCAAAGTCCATTTTTTGTTGGTGCTGGGTTGTCAACGTCAACATTAGATATCTAGCAACACAAGTCGCTGTGGTTTGTTAAAACACAAAGATAAACACGAGAGTGAGCAGAGGTACGCTGTGACCATGTGTATTCATCCGCTCACGTGTATTACCACTGTTTTCACCAACTTATACCGCCGCATGAAGTAGTCCGCCACTTGATTATTTGTGTGTTATTTCGGGGATGGTCATGTTATTTGAAAAATGTTCCCTAAAAAAAAATCGTGCTATTGTGAAAACGTGTTAAACGAGTAATTACTGTACAGATCATATGACTGTTTTAAATATATGTATACATTTCAATACCTATTTAAGCAAACAGCTGCTCAAGATCATTTTAGCCAGCTCTATTCCACTAGAATCCTGTGTTTATGACACAGGATAGTGAAAACAGCTACACAGGATGTTGTCTGACAGTGATCTGAAGTGCAATATGGATGCATCACTAGTGTTAGCAGTACAAAAGGTAACTTCCTCCTCCCTTGAATAAGTGCTGCCATGTGTGTTATATTATATATGAATTTTGTAACCTTACAGGGTAATTTAATACCAAGCCATCTTAGACTGTATGTTTCCAGAAGCAGAAAGGTGCTCTTTTAATTTACAGGCAGTCCCCGGGTTACGTACAAGATAGGGACTGTAGGTTTGTTCTTAAGTTGAATCTGTATGTAAGTCGGAACTGGCGTCCAGATTCAGCCGCTGCTGAAACTGACCGCCAGTT